CATTACCATCGATTATTTCAATGCCTCATGTTGTGCAATTAAATCATGTTAACACAGTTCATTTATCATTTCATGATTGGCCAACTGGTTTAAATCTTCTTGCTCTTCGTCATGTTACATTAACAAATAATCTCATTGCATTGAAAAACTTCTCTTCATTTTCACCTAATATTCGTTCTATTCAAATTCTACTTCATGCTGATAAGCCGAACTTCGACTCAAGCAATTGGTCTATATTGCGTTCACTTTCAGCCTTACCGATGATCACCTCATTACATATCATTATGAATGATATCAATACAGGTCTTGATGATATTAGTTGTCAGATTATTGCAGAAACAGTACCAATATTCGTTCATTTTGGTATTTGTTTTCGAAGAAAAAGTGGACTGCCGAAGCCTGATTCTATTGGCCATTGTATTGAGTTTGATCCTGCTCTCGTCAATCTTACTAATGATCCTATTGTTCCTATTATTGGCGATGATGAAGATGATGAAGATGATGAAGATGATGAAGATTTGACATTCTTGGAATCGATATATGATATTTACCAGGCATCTATCAAAGAACTACATAGTCGTATTTTACGTTTATCATTTCATATGAAACCTCTAATTGTTGTTGAAGAAGGAGGTTGTGGACTAACTGTTTGGTTATGATTTTCGAAAGAAAAAAATAAATATTCAATAAATTGTCAAATCTATAGAATAGTCCCAAACTTGAGAATGAAACGATTGATAACGGGTTCAGAAGTAGATCGAGATGTACAGCATGGTCTTCAAGAAGAGAAAACAGTGAGGTATTGATCGTGAACCAACATCAATTGCTGATACAAATCCATATTCAACTAAAAATGATAGTGAAACCATTGAAATAAGTGATATGAGTGAAAGTGAAATAAAGGTGAATCATCTGAAATGAATAATATAAATAACGGTTGAGATGAGTGTTTCTTAATTGGTGAAATTGAACTTTTGAAACATTCTGTCACTATTTAAAAATCTTAACACTGATCAAAACTTGAATAGAATATATAAGAAGTGATAAGAAAAGATAGCGATTATGGTTTTTTGTTTTGTTTTTTAGATATAATAAAATAAAAGCATGTTTTGGAAAAGAAATTTATATAAAAATATCATAAAATGTCATTCGAGAGAGTTTGTTAGATTTAATCAAATAATTATTATCCATTTCAAAATATAATGTACTTCACTTCTTTTTGAATAACTCGAGAAAGCAGGTACCTGGATACCTGAGGTTTCATCGATCAAAAGAAAAGATAAGGGATCGTCTTTTTCTCCAATATTCTATAAGATGAAATCATTTTAAAATGAGTCATTTCTGGAAAATATTACAACAAGTGTATGAGAACGATCTGTCATTCTGATGAAATTTTCGTTTTGACAAGTTATCTAGTTAGAGAGACTTCATACTTATAGTTCAACATATGATGCGAATAATTATCTTCTCACATCTTAATGTTGAGCAAATAAGATAATCTATTTACTCACACGAGGACTGAGTTTCTTTTGATTTTTTAAGCGAATTTTCTTACTTTTTGTCAAAACATCATCTGAATTGATAAACTATTTTTATAGATTTTTTCGATGTTTTGTAGAAGTGACTGATTTTAAAATGATTTCGTCTTTTACAATGTTAGAGAAAAAGACGTTCTCCTCTCTCCTCTTTCAATTGATGGAAAGTACAGTTCTCTAGCTTTTTATGTTCTCAAGTTATTCAAACAAAAAAACAAAGAGGGGAGCACATTATATTTTGAAATGAATAATAATAAAATAAGTATCGGGTTCAATACTTCCGAGTGCTACACAATAGAGAAATACACATTTAATTAAAATACGGATAGTTATCGTTCTATCAAAACATTGAAATATAAAATAGATTTTTCTCATTCACTATGAGAAACCCTTCTGAAACAACTCTATAAAATCATTTAATCTTTTACTGATGAAAAGAAAATAGAACTAATCGATTCATCAAAAACATCACATTAGAATACATCTAAATAATTTTGAATCACAGATAACTACATAATAAAAGAACGTATTATCCTATAACGAAATAAACGGGTTACATGATTTTCGGACCGAACCGAAATTCTAGTCTTCCAAATTAAATCATTAATACGAACAAAGTTTATTCTAAATTTTCAATGATTTTACTAAAGCAACAGATAAATTATCTTCATTAGCTCTAAATATATATTCAACAAGTACTTTGTTTTAATAACTACTGCGAATATTTGTAGTTTAAAGCTAATAATTTTGAAAATCTTCGTGAGATCAAATGTTGAACAAAATTGGTTATCATTCAATGATAATCTGTAATAGAATGAATTGTTTTAAGAGTCTGGAGATTTGAATCGATTACGATATATTACATAGAGCAAACTTCCTACAAATGAATAAATTTTCAAAAGTATTTTTCATTAATTGTACATAATGAGTAAACCTGAATGGAACCTTCACTTTAGAAAAGCGAAAATTTTGTAAAAGAACAAAAACTTTTTCTTAAATAGAAGCTATAACTTTTAAGGAGGAAAAAAAAATTTAGACGAATTATATTAAAAAAATACTAATATTAAAGAAATCTAATGAATGTTACCTGTCTTGAAAGTAAGACTATGTGCGAGGATGAGGACAAGGTTGTAGGTGCATTCTTATGGCAGGCAACCTTACTGCACCAATTTGAAGGATTGTCTCATAGTTTCTAAATTACTATTGCTTATTTTTGTATGTCTAACTTATTTCTCTGAATCATTAGGGCTCTTTAATGTTAGTATTTTTTATTAATATAATTCGTCTAAATTTTGCTTTCATCCTTAAAAGTTATACTTAGGTCATACCAAAAGTCTTTACGGAGCTATATTAGTTTCTTATAGAATGCTTGAAGAAATTTTCTTTTTATATAGACTGATAGTAAAAACAAAGCTCTACATTTCTACACTATTTGATCGTTATTCATCTAATATAATAATAATAAAATTTCCATAAGACCTGTTTATCTATGATATATGACAATAACATCAGTCGACATCATCTTCGATGTGTATTCTTGTCTTGATTTTCTCTTTGTTCTTCTCCTCTCTTTTCGTTATTCTTTTTTATTGTCTCTTTTAATGCCTAACGGTCGATGCATACACAAGACCATACAAAAAGTAGTAACGATACAACAAAAAAAGAAACAGAGAAACAAGTTCAGTGAGTTTTTATTTCATCAAATGTTGAAAATAGTCGCCCCGGTTATCCACACACAATTGCATTCGTTGAATCCATTTATCAAAGGGTTTTACGCTCTTATTTATTCAAAGAGTTCATGAAACCCTCAATCTCATCCTCATCCTCAAGAACAAAGATAAAACCAAGAGGAAAACGCATATTGAAGACAATATAGTCTAATCTTATCGTTACATATCATAGATAAACAGGCCTTATGAAAATTTTATTATTATTATATCAGATGAATAACGATCAAATAGTGTAGAAATGTAGAGCTTTGTTTTTTACTATCAGTCTATATGAAAAGAAAATTTCTTCAAGCATTCTATAAGAAATTAATATAACTTCGTAAAGACTTTTGGTATGAACTAAGTAGCTTCTATTTAAGAAAAAACTTTTGTTCTTTTATAACAAAATTTTCGTAGACCCCCTTCACCTTAACAATCGAGGGTGGGTGTGGGTGGGTGTGGGGTGTGGGTGTGAATGTGCGGGGTGTGTGGGTGTGGGTGTGGGCGTAGGGGTGTGGGTGTGGGCGTAGGGGTGTGGGTGTTCACTTCTCTTTATCCACATCCACACCCACACACCCTATCGGATCCAGCTGTTGGAAACCGTCAGATCCGACATCCGACAACTTCCTATCGGATTCCGAGACAAAAGATTTCGACACGGATCCCGTCGGAATTTATCGGATTGAGCAAGATTTCCGATAGGGTCCGACGGGATCCGTGTCCTGGATTACTCGTCCTGGGATACTTTGCCATCATTCATCCGTTGTGCTTGTGAGGTTTCGATTTGAGGATGTATGAAATGGCTTCAGCCTCCGAAATTTTCGTAGGCTAAATAAAAATTATATACCAATCTATACTATCTAACTAGTATAAGAAATCTCACGTCAAAACTGCCTACCGTACTTTGGTATAAATGAATAATAATAATAATAATATATGTATATATAAGTCTGAGTTAATCTTTATTGATGAATATCAATAATGACATATATATATATATATATATAATATTGAAAACGTTGTTGATCAATAACAATAATGGTCAACGATAATAACAGAAAAATATAATAATAATAACCAACAATAACAGAAGAAAACGATGATAACACGAGAAAAACAATAATAGTGATAATCGAAAAGAGATCAACAATAATGATAATCAAAAGAGAAAAACGAGATCATATATAGGATATGAAAAGAAAAAATAAAAACGTAATAGAAAAAACTAGAATGACGCAATATGAAGTAGATCATCGTGATCTCATGATGATCAATAGAACATATACATATATGACAGGAAAGAAAAAAAAGAAAAAAAAATATATATGTATATGTAATACACTGGACATAAGTTAGCGTCATAATGCGACATCTGTTGACGCTAACAGTGCTTTTCTCATGAAGCCTGAGGCCATCAAAAAGAAAAATAATAAGAACAAATAACAACATTTTAAAATTCCATTTATTAGTTTTACCACATTTTTTCTCTTTCCTATGGATTATGACGATGCATTTCATTCTTCGTTCTTTTTCTTCTTCCTCTCTTGCTTGATGTGTAGAGATTTCGTTGTTGCCTCTTCTTGAGCACTCCTGAAACAAACGAACGAATAGAACTCCAGAAAGTGACAAACGAAATATAAACACATCCATATGACAGCCAGCCAAAAAAAAGTGTCAACAAAAGGATGAAAACAACAATACGTATATAGAGGGTTGAGAAATCGTCCCTTTTGCACTCATTTATCCATTGTTCATTATGGATGATCAAAAATCAACAACAACTGCTGCTATTGAAAGAACAGCTGCTACCACGTCTAGTTCGACTGTGCCGTCTCGTCGTATTTGTCGAATGATTCAAAACTTTCTTCTCGTCTGGCTCGATGCCAACATTGATGAATCGAAGGAAGATTTTAAAAATTCATTGACAAACCTACGACATATTGTGGCAACAATCACAACATTCACAGATGCTGATCAATGTGTTGATTTTCTCCGTGACATTGAAGATGAAAAAGTGTTCATGATTGTGTCTGGTGTACTGGGACAAAATATCCTACCAGATATTCAAGCATTGCCACAATTACACTCAATCTATGTTTTCTGTGAAAACCAATCGATTCATGAACAATGGGCCAAAAAAACACTCAAGGTAAAAGGTGTATACGCACAAATTGAACCGATTTGTGAAGCATTAAAAATCGATCGTGAATATTGTGACCGAGGTATGATCCCGATCAGTTATCATGGCATTGATGTGTTATTTATGTATACGCAATTGTTAAAGGAAGCACTTTTGGAAATCGAAGATGATGATACAAAATCGATTAAAGAACTCGTTGAGTACTGTCGTCTTCAAGACGATGTTTCTGAACAAACAATCGAAAAGATCGAACGAGAATATCGTAATCATACACCCATTTGGTGGTACACGGGTCCATATTTTATCTACTCAATGCTCAATCGTGGTCTTCGACAAATGGATGTCGACATTATACTTAAAATGGGCTTTTTCATCCGCCATCTACATCAGCATATTACAGAATTACATCGCGAACAACAAAGCAGCAAAGCAGCTATGCCATCGAAATTTCAAGTTTTTCGTGGTCAAGGCTTATCCATGAAAGCCTTTGAAAAAATGAAGAAAACCGAAGGTGGACTAATGTCCTTTAATAATTTCTTATCGACAAGTCGTAATCGTGAAATTTCTTTCCAAAGCTTTGCACGGCCGGCAGCATTCGATGCGAATTCAGTTGGTATCCTTTTCGTTATGAGCATCGATACGACCATTTGTACAGCATCATCGACGCCTTTCGTGAACGTTAAAGATATTGGCTTCTACGATGATAAAGAAGAAGAAATTCTCTTTTCCACTCATACAATTTTTCGTATCGATCGTATAGAACGTATTGAAGACAAGCATACAGATCGTCTCTGGCAAGTAAATCTCACCCTCGCCGGTAATCAAGATAATGATTTTAACAGACTTACAGTACGTTTACGCGAAGAGCTTGACGTTGTGGGAACAGGGTGGTCTCGACTCGGTCAAATTCTTATTAAAGTGGGAGACTTCGAAAAAGCGGGACAACTCTATCAGCTGCTCCTTGAGAAGACATCTTCTGACGGATGCAAAGCACAGTATAATTGTCAACTTGGCACGGTGTATCAAAGCATAGGAGGATACTCCAAGGCAATAACATTTTATAAAAAAGCAATCGATATCTACAAGGAAATGAACCCTCCGAGTCAGCTTGGCTTGGCTGCTACCTACCAAGGCATGGGTAATGTGTATTATAACATGGGCGAGTACTTGGAAGCACTTTCATCATACGAACGATCACTTGAAATCCGAAAAATAGTCCTCCCTCCGAATCATTTCGACTTGACTGCTTCCTACAACAACATCGGTATGGTGTATGATAACATGGGCGAGTATCCGAAAGCACTTTCATCGTACGAACGATCACTTGAAATCCAAAAAATAGCTCTCCCTCCGAACCATCCCGACTTGGCTATGTCCTACAACAACATTGGTTTGGTGTATAATAACATGGGCGAGTACTTGAAAGCACTTTCATATTACGAAACATCGCTCCATATCAGCAAGGAAGCTCTCCCTCCAAATCATCCGAACTTTGCTGAAGCCTACAACAACATTGGTGTGGTGTATTCTAATATGGGCGAGTACTCGAAAGCAATATCATCGTGTGAAAGATCAATTGAAATTCGAAAAACAACTCTTCCTCCAAGTCATCCCGACTTGGCTACCTCCCACAACAATATCAGTTTGGTGTATTCTAACATGGGCGAGTACTCGAAAGCACTTTCATCGTGCGAAAGATCACTTGAAATTCGAAAAACAGCTCTTCCTTCAAGTCATCCCGATTTGGCTACTTCCTACAACAATATCAGTTTGGTGTATTCTAACATGGGCGAGTATTCGAAAGCACTTTCATCGTGTGAAAGATCACTTGAAATCCGAAAAATAGCTCTTCCTTCAAGTCATCCCGACTTGGCTACTTCCTACAACAACAACGGTTTGGTGTATTCTAACATGGGCGAGTATCCGAAAGCACTTTCATTGTGCGAAAGATCACTTGAAATCCGAAAAATAGCTCTCCCTTCAAATCATCCCGACTTGGCTACTTCCTACAACAACATCGGTCATGTGTATTATAACATGGGCGAGTACTCGAAAGCACTTCGATATTACGAAAAAGCTCAAGAAATCTGGCAAAAATCACTGCCTCCAACGCATCCGCATATTGCACTTGTGAAAAGTAATATTGAGATTGTGAAAAAGAAAATGTAATTGTTTTTTTTCGAACGAGAAAATAAACTAACCTTTCTTGAATACTTGGCTCGCCGAAGCGCCCCAGCTGCAAAATTTCCCTCACGTGCGATCAGGGATACCCTCCGTATTCTCCTGGTTAGTACAGTGGACAAAGTTGGCAATGATACGCAAACACACATTTATATGTGTATGACTAGTACGTCCATGATCATCATCATCTCAGTAGAGAGATGACGATGACACTAGACGCTTCAGTCATACGTACATAAATGTATGTTACCCATGTGTTCAATTGCGGTCAAATTGCGACGCAGTTGCGCGTAGGCACGGTAAAAAAATTACAGCTGCTAAAAAAGACGGCAAGGCGATTCTTTCACTTTATTAATATTTTTATTCTGAATTACAAAAAAATTTTTAAAATTGCTAATAAAAAAATTTAAAAAAAGTTAAAAAAAATTAAAAACATAAAAGAAATGAAAAAGTGTAGAAAATAAAAAATAGAAATCTAGAAAATAAAAAAAATAAAAATCTAAAAAATAAAAAAAATAAAAATCTAGAAAATAAAAAATAATTTTTTTCATCAAATAATTTTTTGTTAGATAGTCAGGTTTTTCGTAAAAAAATGATTTTTTAACAAAAAAAATTCTCTTACGAAAAAACTGAGTGTCGGACAAAAAAATTGTTCGATAGGAAAAAATGCTTTTTTTTTTACAAAAAATTTCTTCTGTTAAAAAAAGACTTTTTTTACAAAAAATTTTTGGGGTAAAATCGAACTTAAAATTTCGAAAAAACCGGCTTTAGATTCGAATTCCTTGATCCCTAAAACTTTTGATCAAAGTTTATAAAATACCATTTTTTTTTCTTAAAAAAGCTCTTTATTTGTAAAAAAAAGTTGAACTCAAAATTTCGAAAAATCGATTTCAGATTCGGATTGGGGTGTGGGTGTGGATGTGGGTTCTGATCTTCTCTTGACCCACACTCACAACCACACCTACACCCACATTCACACACCTCACCCACACCCCGAATTAGTAGTCTGTGTAACACATGAAAAAAATTGTTTTTTTGATTATAATAAGGTTTTTATGTAATCGTTTTGAGCCAGATAAAATAAATCGATTACAAAATCATTTTTGATTAAAAAAAATTCCGGCCCCAAAGGGTTAGTTAGTTTATACCAAGTTTCATCAAATTTTAGCTCAGTAAAAAAATTCAGGACTCAAAGGGTTAAACTGATATTATTGTAAATAATTATCGTTCAGATTTGATTTTTATTTCTTGATTTGCTTTCATTTATTGTCGAATATATGAATAAAATTTGCCATGTGGAAATTTCAAATTATTCCATTATTATTCGTAGGCGATAATTTTTTTTATTGCATTTAGAAATTCGTCTGAGACAATGGAAATATTTAATTTTCGAGCTTCTGGAAGTTTTTTACTCTTCTAAATTTCATCTTTTTGTTAAAAAAAGTCAAAATCTAATTAAAGAATTTAAATGGGAAAATGCTTTGTAAATTGACAACAATTCCAACAGTATCATCAATTTTTGATGATAATATGCCATCTAATCGTTCAACTTCTTTTCGTATAGTTGCAAGAGAACTTGATAAATGATCAGCTGATAATACAACATAACCAGAAAGTAATAAATTCGGATCATATGTTGATCTAGAAAATAACAATTTTCTTTCGTTATCATTATCTCCGAAACTTACTTCTGAATAATTCTTGAAACATCTGGTGTTTTTGTAATGGTAGCTTGTTTTTCAACAACTTTTGCTAAAACTCGATCACGTTTTTAATATTTGTATGATTTACTAAATAAAACAAAAGTAAAAAAAATCCTAATAATAATAAAACTTGAATATATACAAAACATCATACTCTGTTTTAATATCATCTGGTATATCAAATACTTTTCTTGTTGGTGTTGTTATTGAATGAGAACATTTTATCCATTCTGTAATATCACCTGTACGGCGATAACATGTATAGTTATGATAAATTATAACAGTAAAGATATTTATAAAAAGAAAAACAATGTATTACTTAAAAATAAGAAATCTTCCTTATTCTGGACAATATTCTAATGTACTAAATGCCATCCAATCTGTAACTGTATCCATCAACTATATGCGAATGAAAGATCAAATTTGAGTTTGAAATGACTATTTTTCAAGTGATTTTCACCAAAACAACGATTGGTATAATCTTTCGCATTCATCGAAGGAAGTTAAAATCTATTTCTTTTCTTTTCATATTCTGATATAGTACCAAATATTTTATTGATTTGCTACAATTTTTAATTAGTTTAATTATTCAATCAGTTCAAATTTTATTAAGCTTTAAGAATGAAACATATGAGAATTACTTTTGTTACACGAACAAATATGTAATAATGATCTAGTGTTTTTGATGATAACGTTAAGCTTGTATCTGAGATGACAGTCATATCACCTCACCAGCAGTGTCCAAGGACTGAGAAATAGAAATTCCTAATTTGCAGAGGAATTATCAGTATTGCTATGATAATTCCTCGGAGAAATGGGAATTGACCATTATTTCCATAACAGTTCCCCCATTCATGAAAGTCAAAATAATGCTTTTTTTGAAATAAGTTTCGTACTCATACACTCATGTTCATAAATTTCTTGATGAGAATGAGTGTAAGAGTAAAAAAGCGTTCATTATTTGCCAATCTTAACGATATATAATCAATTAGCTTTCTTCTGCGAACAGCTGTTTATAGATGAGAGAAAAGCACCACCGTGTGGAGAAGGTATGAGTGAAAAGCAAATCTACACTCACGCCCGTAAACCTAAAAGTGTCTCTATCTATCGTTTCGTTGTTTTTAAAGGAGGTTGTTTCACAGCAACGATCATTTAATAATGACGTCTAGAAAGATAAAAACATTTCACATATTGCTATCAAAACAATTTTTATTTTAGTTATTCTTTAAACTTTAGTTCCTTATCTTCATGGTATATTAGGAAAAAAAATTTTTTTTTTCTTTATTAATTATCATAATCGTTATTATTCTTATTAAGGCTGAACCTGCTGGTAAAGAAGGAAAAAAAAAAGGTCGAGAACCTAAAAATCAAGTTCATCAAGAAGCAATTCTTGTTGAAACAATTCGTAAAGAATTAGCTCAACAAAAACTTTTTACAAATTATTCTGTTAATCCATTCAAAAAATGTAATTTATACATTCTATATATTAATTTCTATTGATATTTCTTTTTTTCTGGTTTAGCTGAAGCATTAACACCTAAACCAAATGTTTATCCAGATGAAAATGCAGGCGAAGATTGTAAGCAAAAGAAAAAAGAAAAAAGAAAAAAGATTTTATAATTTATTTATCAACTATCAATTATTATTATTTTAGCATCATTTATTGATATTATACATCGAGCAAATCTTGAACCAGAAAAAAAATATCAAAAACCACAAACAACAAGTCAAGAAATTGGATGGTTTCATGAACCATTAGTATGTCGTATTATGTTTTTTTTAAATTTTATTTTAAATAGATTTTAATTTTATCTAGTTAAAAGTTAATCGTGCTGATATTCGTCTCAATTTTCCAATGGTTAAATCTGAAATTTCAGCATATGCTGAAGAATATTTTAAATTTAAACCAAAAAAATATGATAAAAGTGTTCGTGCACCTGGCGAAGATTCAAAAGCAAAATAAACAAATATATCTAATTTCTCTTTTTCTTTTCTAACTCTGTATAACACAAGAAAAACAAACAAACAAACAAAAAAAAAAAACTAAGATTTTTAAGTTTGATACATTCTATTATTAAAATTATTATTATGTTGTTGACGAGATTGTTGTGGATAATATGAATTATCATTTGGAGGTGAATTATATTGTGCAGGAAAAATATCTTCTCGTAAATATTTTAATGGTACAGGATAAGTAATCATATCATGTTGAATAAATGCTATATGACTATTTGATTTTAATGTAATTATATCATGTGGTAATGTAAAATTTTGATATGAATCTAATAATTGTTGTTGTTGTTGTTTTTCCCATCTGGAACGTTTTTTTTGTCTATCTGGTGATGTTTCACGATTTCGTTCATGTCCAACTGCAGCAGCTGCCGCTGCCGCCGCCGCCGCCGCCGCCGCCGCAGCAAGTTGTTGTTGATGTCGTTCATGACTTTCAGCTGATGCATGTTTAACATCAATTTCTTTACCATCAATAATATGAGGACGAGATTCAACAACAAGATCAGCTATTTGAGGTGTTGTAAACTGTACAAAACCAAAACAACGTGAAAGTTTTGTTGTTGGATTTTTTATAACAATACAATCAGTTAATTCACCAAATGTTTGAAAATATTGATGAAGCATTTCAGTTGTTGTTGATCGTGTTAAACCTCTATTATAACAATATATATGTATATATATATACATGTCGAAGTTAACTTTAAAATTTAATTGTAGGAATGCAAAAGTGACGGTGCACCATCCACCGGTCTTATGAGTTCTTTTCATCAGACATTAGTTAAAATATATTATTTGCTATCAATAAAAAAGACTAAAGACTTTCGTAGTGCAGGAGTCCAAATCTATAGAAAATTTGTCGAAATTCTTGCGTTCAATTTTTTCACTGGAGAAAGACTTAGCTCTAGGGAGCTGCGGGTCCAAACTTTTATTCTTTGTTGGGCCCGGTTACACGTTTTGGTGGACCCGCTTCTTCCCAGATGAGAAATATAGCAACAATAAAAGTGCCAGGTATTGATGGAGAAAACCTCGGGCTTAGACCCAATCGGATCTGGATCCACAAAAACGTGGACTTGCAGCTCCCTACTTAGCTCTCGTAGTTCACTCATGTTTTATAAAATTCAGTTCTTTTTTTAAAATAGATCTCTTCCGACCGGACAATTCGAATCGAATCTACAATTACCGTCTTCATCATTCTTCTATACGTACATTTCCCGATCAGTATAGCGCTTTATCTAAGATCGATGATTACCGCCATTATTGCATCCCTATTCAGTTACCTTTAAAATATAGAAACGTAAGATTATTATGCATCGATCGAAAATAAATAATTTTCAACTGGTGAACAATTTCTTGTTAAGGCTTATTTTCTATTATACATTTTTTGACCGAGACTTAGCCTTTATTTCTGTATGATCAATCTATTCAGTTGTACGCACCTCTATATGAGATCAAGCTGAGCTAATCGCAATAAAATTTGCAACGGCTCATAAATCTAAAGAGGATTTATTATTCTACACTACATTCTACGTAAACTCATATTGAAAAATATTTATTTTCGATTAGTACATAACAATTTTACTTTTCTATATTTTAAATTCAACTGCAACATATTTATTAAAACAAGAAAAACCGATATTATATTTACCCAATAAATAATTTACATGGATCATCGTCTCTATCCATTATTTGTTTTAGAAAAAAACAAAACAAATAAGTCTTTTTCGTTTTTTCTATATCCTAAACCTAAATTATTTTCATTACAAAATAAAACTATCAAGATTTACAATCTAAAATAAACAAAAAAGATATTTTTATCACTATTTCTTTTCTTTCAATATCTGGATATATTTGTTTGCAAAAAAATATCATCTGACATGTTCATCTAGTTTTGCATGATTAACACAAGAAAAACAATAACAAAAAACAACAACAACAAAACCTGATTACAAGTATCTGATTCCATAGATGGATCGCTTGAGTTTGATGGTTATATACAGCAAAAACAACAAAGAACGAATAAACTTTTATAATAAAAAACTAAACGTCCTAGATAATCATATCACTAATATTTTTTATCTGTTAATCCCAATCTTCTGTTGCACCAGCCGATACTGTACCACCACTAGGAGCAGCTGTTTGACTATGAGTAAATCCACCGGTACGCATCTAAATAAAAAAAAATAATAAAAATTATTTTATTTTTATTTTGATCAAATTTACATCTGTATTTTTTCCAGCTAAACCACCACGATTAAATCCTTGAGTACTTTCAGTATTTTTTCTAAGAAATTCAGGTACTTCTTGACCAGCCTAAAATAATTTCACATATGATTTTTTTTTCAATAAAAAATGATATTTACTTCGCTTAATTTTTGTATAAGTTCAGGTGCAATATTTCGATCAGATTCTCGATCTGGATCGAAAAATGAAATTGATTTACCCAAATGACCAGCACGGCCTTAAGCAAAAACAAAAACACAATTAAATCAATATTTTTTCAATTGAATATAAACTAATAATAATAATACCTGTTCGACCAATACGATGAATATAAAAATCACTTGTATCTGGTAAATCATAATTTATTACATAACCAATTAATGGAAAATCTAAACCACGTGCAGCAACTGATGTTGCAACAAGTATTGGACATTTTCCACTTGTAAATTGTTGTACAGCTTCTAAACGTTGTCGTTGTGTTCGATCACCATGCATTGTTGTACTCATAAAATTTCGTTGTGAAAGTAAAGCACCAATATAATCAGCTGATCGTTTTGTTTCAACAAATATTAAACAACGTTCAGATTCTTAAAAAAAAAATGTAAATTTCAATTAAAAAACACATCAGTACAGCCCCCTCCCCTTTTTAGGAGGCTAAAATATGGAATTCTACGTTAACGAAGGAATATTTCCAAGCCAACCCGCTCCATTCACCTTCATACTTTGTCATATATATGTAGGAAATTACTACAGTAATATCAGTTTTGGATATCACATTGCTAAGATGTGGGTTTCTCAATATATCTATGCTTTTCTTTAAATGTTATGTAAGATAGAAATAGACTGAGAAATCCATATATTGACAATGCAATGTCCAAAACCGATGACACTTTATAGATGAGATAATCTAATTAATATCTTCATGTGTACACTTTGGCGG